CTGTTCATTAGTGCCCAGCAGTGTGGTCTGTGGCTCACCCCTGCCCTGCCCATCTCTTGCAGAACATTGTCTCCAAGCACAGCTCACAGTTCCGGGGCAATGCGCAGCACGACGCCCTCGAGTTCCTGCTCTGGCTGCTGGACCGCATGCATGAGGATCTGGGGGCTGCCTCCCCTGCCCAGCAGACCCGCAGCCCCCAGGAGGTGGGTAACCCCACTGGGGTGGCTGCACACCCTGGCTCAGGGGGAAGGTGTTTGGGCCAGGTCTGGGAGCAGGGAAGCCGGAATGTCCTGGGAGGCAGTGGGACTGGAGCTGGCCCCCACCCCGGTGTGGATGGGGATATGGATGATGTGGTTTGGTCGATGTGTGGGTGGAAGGATGGTGGGATCTGGGTGCTGGAGGGGTGGGCAGGGGGCTGGAGTGCTGGGAGAGTGTGGGGGTGTCAGCAGGAGCATCCCAGTTCTGGTGGGCATCCTGGTTCTTGGGGCTGCTTGGTGAGGAGGAGACCCAGCCCCCCCAGCCCTCCCTGCCTCCAGCTAAGCCCACTGTAATTACAGCTCGGCAGCTTTGCTGCTGGCAAAATGAGTAATTAAGTCTCCTTCGATCCATCTGTGCTCAGGCATTGCCCTGGCCCTGGCCCTCCCTGCTTCCTGCCCGCTCCTTCCCTGTTCCCTCCCTCCCTGCCGGGTGCTGCCCGTTGCAGTGAATGGATTTGTACTGTTGGCAATTGCCACGTCAGCTCAGCTCAGCAGAGTGCTGTCCCCACTCTGGGGGTGACTCCCAGCTCCACAATGTGCTGTCCCCACTCTGGGGGTGACTCCCAGCTCCACAATGTGCTGTCCCCACTTTGAGGGTGATGCCCATCTTGGGCACAGGGAGCCTGGGACCAGCTTCCTCCTGCTTGGGGTGTCATGGCTGTGCCCAAGGGTGCAGGTCAGGGTCCCCATGGGCAGCCCCTGCCCAGCCTCCAGCCTGGTGTGGGCACAGCTCTGTCCCACAGGAGAGGGCTCAGCTGCAGTGCCCATCTCTAGGGCCTTGGGCTGGGGCAGCCCTGTGGCTCCCAGCCCTGCTTGGCCAGGGTCCTGCAGCCATCCCTGCACTGAGCTGGGCTGTCCTCAGCCCTGCCACCTTTCCCGTGAGTTGTTTGGATACCCCAGGCTCTCTGGGAGAGCCTGGCAGCTCCTGTTGCTCACGTTAAATGTGAGGTGCCCACGTGTGCCATGGGCTGTGATGTGACACCAGCAGTGCCCTCGGCTGCCCATGCAATGCCCGGGGCACCTGCCTGGCTGTGGGGATGGGGCCCTTTGTGTGTCCTTCAGCATCCGTGGTTTTGTTTGGCATTCCCCAGTCTTGGGGGATGCCACCTGAGTGGCCTGTGTCCCTGGGGAGGGGGTGCCCAGCAGGGGTGATGGGAGCCTGGATAAATGGCGTGGAAGTGTCTGGATGGAGGTGGGCACACACGTGTCTGTCCTGGTGTTGGGGAGGAGCAGGGTGTGTGCACATACCCACAGATGGGGATGGGGAGACAATTTGCTCCTGGTCAAGCCCACCCTGAGGCTCAGGGGCTGGGGAGCTCAGCTGTTGGGCAGAAAGTGAGGAGATCAGAGCTGGGCATGCTGGAGGGTTGGGAATACCCTCCTGGCCCATGAGGTGTGTGCTGTGGCACCCAGTGGGCTGTGGGGCCACTGTGGTGGAGACCAAGGCTTGGCTGCTGGGAGGGCTGGAGGAGGAGGTGTCCCCTTGGGTTTTGGGGGTTCTGGGGGCTGTGTAGGGCACAGACATGGTCCAGGCCCACTCTCATCCACACCAGATGGACCCCAGCCCTGCACAGATCTTAAGGACGTGTCAGGCTCAGCAGGACCTGGTGCCAGCAGATGGCATGAGGAAAATCCACTTCCTGGCCAAATACCTCATTGATTTTCAATCTTTCTCATCGCGACACCAGAAACTCACTGTCTTACCCCAAAACAGCCCAGTCCCTTCCCAAGCCACCAACAGTCCTTTCTGCAGCATCTCTTCTGTCACTGGGCTCCGGGGGTGAAGTCAGTGGCTCCTGTCCTTGATGTGGGGCTCCTGGTGGTTGGCAGGGCAGGGGGCAGGCAGGGGGTGTCACCTAACCAGGCAGGTTTGGCTGTGTAACACAGTCACATCCCAGTGTCCTTATTCCCTGTGGAGTGGAGCAGAAGACTGTGCTCTTCTCGGTGTCCCTGGGGCACATCTCAGCTGTCAGAGGGGCGCTGTGCCCACCGCCTGCACCCGCACGGACCCACAAGAGCCCCGTGCTGGGGCAGAGTCGGGGTGGCAGGTGCTGTGCCAGGAGCCCTGCCCGGGCTCAGCGTGCCGGGTGCTGTGCCTGGGCTTGATGTGGCAGGTGCCACGCTGGGTGCTGTGCCTGGGCTTGCTGCTGGGGAAACACGCAGCAGCAGCAGGGCTGGTTTCTGGGTGCCCGCAGCCCACGCCGGCCCACCTGCCCGGGAGGGCATCGCGCCAGCCCGGCCCTTGCTGAGCTCCCTGGTCTGGGGATTTGCCTGTGGTTAATTGGCACCCAGCCATGTCCCCCCCTCCCCGGGCGGGTGCATGCCCAGGAATGTGCACACCTGCTCCAGGAGCTCATCTCTTATGGAGATACACATGGACATAAACACAGACACACGGACCTGCTGCAGCGTCCCACACCTCACCCCCCGTGCCCCAGCTCCCAGCGCCCATGGGCACGTTTCCTGGGTGGGGTGGGCACCTCCCTGCTGCCCGGGGGTGTGCCCATGGGCACTGGGGCTCCTTGGGGGGGATGTTACAGAGGACCAGCTTTCCCCCACCCCCGAGCTTTTCCCCTGCTGGGGTGCTGCTATGGCTCACCCAGGATTTCCCTCCTGGAGCTTTTCAACCGGGCTTGAATGCATTCCCAGCTCCAGTTCCTCAGTGTCCAGGAGCTCTGGACACTGGGGCTGCTTTGGGTGGCCCTTGGGGGTCCACCACTGCAGACCCTTCGTTAACCCTTTGTGCCCTGTGCTGCTGGTGGATGGGATGTACCCCAAAGATTCCCCAGGAGAAGGTGGACAGGCAGCCTGGAAGGCACAGCAATGCCAGGCAGGCAGGTGCCAGGATCACTTTGGCATCACCTCCAGCCCATCCTTGTGCCATGGGGACACCAAAACCGGCCTTGGTTCACTAGGACATGTCCCCAGAGTGGGTGAGGGGTCACCCTGGCACCTCACTCACTCACTTGTCTCTTGTCCCCCCAGCCTGGCAAGGACAGTGGCAGTGCCAGCAGGTCCCCGCCAGCTGCCCAGCACCCCCGGGGGCAGAGCTTCGTGCAGAGCCATTTCCAGGCACAGTACAGGTGAGTGGAGGGCTGGATCCTGCCCCACTGGGGCTTCACCCTCCTGTGAGCCCTGTGAGGGAAGGGATGAGACAGGGAGGTGTTCCATCCATCCATCCATCCATTCATCCCATCATCCCACCCAGCCTAGGCACTGGAGCTGCTTCTCCCGTGGGCAGAAAGTGTCCAAGGCCAGGTTGGACAGGGCTTGGAGCAACCTGGTCTAGTGAAAGGTGTCCCTGCAGGGGGGGCAGATGGAATGGTCTTTGAAGGTCCCTCCCAACCCGAACCATTCTGTGATTCTGTCCCAGGGCTCGGGGTTGGGGTTTTCCCAAGCCTGTCCCAGCAGTCCAGCATAACCATGTCCCTGCGTGGGACATCCCACATGTTCATCTCTCTGAGACTCACAGGATGCTTGGAGGGCCAGCATGTGGCCACCCTGTGCCCATGCCATGGCAGTGCAGGCGTGAGGGGATGCATCTGGCATCACAAGCCCTTCCTCCTCTCTCAATTAATCCTTTGGCCTATATATGAAAAAGAGGCACTTTAATTATCCACCCTTCCCTGTGCCAGAGCCGTCTGTGTGCAAAGGGATTTATTAATTTGTGTGGCTGCTTCCCGGGGAGCTCAGTGGCTCTTCAAGGTGACAAATAACAAGCATTCAGGATTTTGATTTGGGTTTTTAATTTATTTTCACCCTATTTGTTGAATATAAAGGCAGGAGAAAAAGAAAAAAGTAATAAAAAAAACACAATTAAAAAGAAATCGGTGGTGGGGTGACGGTTGGCATTAAAGGTTCACTTAAGCCAGTCTCCAGTGGGAGATGGGATGGTCCCTGCTGGTAAGGGGACCTGCTCCCCCACAGTGGCCCTGTGACCCCCCAGCAGAGCAGATGAGTTCTCACTGTCCCCAGGGCTCCCCTGGAGCTGGTGGTTGTTCCAGGCAGGGCTTGGGTGAGCAGAGCTGGTGGTCCCAGGGCTGTGGTGACACCCTGGGGCTTGTCACAGGCAGATGTCCTGCTGCCCATCCCTGCTCCTCCCTGCAGCCCAGCCACAGCCCTGCTTATCAGCAGGGCTCCTGTTCCCTCCCAGCACCCCAAGGCGTTGTCCCTGCTTAACCCAGGCCATCTGGGGTCAACTCAAAGCCCCCAGGAGCCAGAAGCCACCCCGGACTCTGCCAGCCCTTGGGAGAGGGAGCAGGATGTGGGGGAATTTTGTGGCTACATACATGAGAGCGGGAGATCCCCCAGCCCTGGCATTTCTCTCTGACTTCTCTAGCAGCAGTTGCTGTGGGTGCCCTCGTTAGGTTTCAGAGTGAGCAGCCCATGGGGTTGGGCAGGCAGGTACAGGCTGTGCTGCCTCACCCTGGCAGGAGGTTCAGGCCAATCTGGTGTGATACTGGGACCACCCGAGCTCTGTGGGATGCGGTACCCAGGGTGTAGAAGCAGTGACAGGGTGCTGCAGCCCCAGGCTGGGGACTCTGGGGGGGCCATGCCTGCTCTGGTGATGCTCCCCATCCATGTTTCACAGGTCCTCCCTGACGTGCCCTCACTGCCTGAAGCAAAGCAACACCTTCGACCCCTTCCTGTGCATCTCCCTGCCCATCCCCCTGCGCCAGACCAGGTGAGCCCAACCCCCCCCTCCCCAGTCATGGTAAAACGAGAGGCACATCCACCACCCAGCACGGTGTCAGCTCCAACCTGAGTCATTTGCATGGTTTGGGGCAAATAATTGATGTGGGAGTTGGGGGCAGCACTGGGGATGGACAACAGCAACCCACTGCAGGACCTGTGTCCATGGGGTGCTTGCCAGCCCAGAGCTGGAGCTGCTGTGCAGGTGGGTCACAGAATCACAGCACCAAAGAATCACAGAATGAACTACGTTGGAAAAGACCTCTGAGATCATCCAGTCCAACCCATGACCCAACACCACCTTGTCACCCAGACCATGGCACTGATGCCACATCCAGGCTCTGCTTAAACACCTCCAGGGATGGGGACTGCACCCCCTCCCTGGGCAGCCCATTCCAAGGGCTGATCCCTCTCTCTGGGAAGAACTTCTTCCCAAGGTCCAACCTAAACCTGCCCTGGTGCAGCTCAAGGCTGTGCCCTCTTGTCCTACTGCTGGTTCCTGGGAGCAGAGCCCGACTCCCCCCGGCTCCCCCCTCCTGTCAGGGAGTTGTAGAGAGTGAGAAGGTCTCCCCTGAGCCTCCTCCTGTCCAGGCTGAGCCCCCCCAGCTCCCTCAGCTGCTCCTCACAGCACTTGTGCTCCAGACCCTTCCCCAGCCTCGTTGCCCTTCTCTGGACCTGCTCCAACCCCTCCATGTCCTTCTTGAACTGAGGGGCCCAGAGCTGGACACAACACGAGGTGAGGCCTCAGCAGTGCCCAGTCCAGGGGCAGAATCCCTGCCCTGCTCCTGCTGCCACACTGCTCCTGATCCAGACCAGGATCCATTGGCCTTCTTGGCCACCTGGGCACCCCTGGCTCTGGTTCAGTTTCCTATCAGTACCCCCAGGTCCCTCTCTGCCTGGCCCTGTTCCCCCACCTGTCCCCATCCTATGGTGCTGCAGGGGGTTGTTGTGGCCAAAGTGCTCATTGTGAGCAGTGTCGGGTCTCAGCACAGCGCACAGTGTCCCATGGCTGAGGTGTGTCAGTGTGTCCCTGTGGTGTCCACAGTGTGTCCCTGTGGTGTCCCCAGGGCTCTCAACGTCACCCTGGTGCTGCAGTGTGAGCGCTGGCGCTTCGTGCGGGTGGGACTGGCCGTGCCACTGCTGGGCACCGTGGCCGACCTGCGGGAGATGGTGGCACGGGAGGGGTGCATCCCCCCGGAGCAGGTAACGGGGGGGGACACACGGGGTGGGGGGACACCCTCCTCTCAGGGATGCTGAGGGTGCTGGGTGCCATCCCACAGGTGATCCTGGCCGAGGTGTCCCCGCGGGGCTTCCTGCGCTCGCTGGGGGACAAGGAGGAGCTGGGAGCTGCCGGGGAGGGGGCTCCTCTCTACGCCTTCCAGCCACCCCCTGCCCGCCGCACAGGTACCACCCCTGTGCCCTGATTGGCTGCTGGCTGCAGGCCTGCGCTGCTCTGATTGGTTGGGAGTGGCTTGTGCCATGCTGGGATTGGAGCTGGGCTGGGAGGGGGGCAAGAGCGCCCCTGGGATTGGTGGGGAGGTGGATCCCCTCTTCTGGTATTGGTGGGGAGGTGGATCTGCTCTGCTGGGATTGGTGGGGAGGTGGATCCCCTCTGCTGGGATTGGTGGGGAGGTGGATCCGCTCTGCTGGGATTGGTGGGGAGGTGGATCCCCTCTGCTGGGATTGGTCAGAGGCAGCTGTGCTCCACTGGGGTTCGGGGAGACGGGATTGGTTGGAAATCTCTGCTGGGATTGGTTGGAAATGGATCCCTTTAGCTGTGGTTGGTGGGAGGCAGGTGTGCTCTGCTGTGATTGGTGGGGGCTGTGTCCTGTCTGCTGTGATCCGATGAGAGCCTTGTTTGCCCCCATCCCATGACTGGTTGGACGCGGGTGTGCTGTGCTGTGATTGGTGGTAGTTTCCCCCCCCCACCCATGACTGGTGGGAGGCAGGTGTGCTGTGCTGTGATTAGTGGGGGGCCAAGCCCCCGGACTGTGATTGGTGGAAAGCGCAGGGTGCAGGCAGCACTGCAGGCAGGGGAGCACAGGCAGGGATCCACCAAGGGCATTGCATCGCACCAATTAACTAATTAACTAACTAACGAGAACCCCTCCATGCCCCCGCCCTCCCCAGGGTGCCCCCGCAGCCTGCCCGCATCCCCTGGGGTGGCCCGGCCAGAGGGGCCGCGCCTGCCGCCCGCTGCCGCCCGCTCCTCCGACTGCCTGCACCGCGGGCAGGGCGGCCGCATCCTGCTGCTGCTCTGCAACACGGCGGGCATCGGCCCCCAGCTCGCCAGGTACCGTCACCTGCCCCCTGCCCGCGCCCCCGCCCTGCCCTCCCGCTGCAGGACGAGGTGCGAGGTGTCCCTCCCAAGCTGCCTGTGCCCCTCAGCCCGGTGTCCCCCACTGCCTGTCCCCAGGTTTGGGCCGCCTTTGGTGCTGAGGGAGGAGCGGGGCATCTCCTGGGAGCAGCTCCAGCAGAGCATCCTGGCCCAGCTGCGGGCGCTGCTGCGGGGAGAGGTGCGGGCACAGGTGAGCTGGGGGGGACACACTGCTGTGCCCTCCTGGGGCTGCTGGCACTGGCTACAGTGGTGACGGCAGGGATGGAGCCACATGTGGCTGTGGTGTCTCCTTGGCTGGCCCTGGTGGAGTTGTGGGTGGCCATGGTGTCTCCATGGGTGGCCATGGTGGAGCTTTGGGTGGCGATGGCAGCACCATCACTGTCTGTGGTGACACCCTCAGTGGCCATGGTAGAGCTGTGCTTGGCTGAAGGGTCACCGGGGCAGCCAATAGTGTCACCAGGGGTGGTTGTGGTGGCCCTGGAGTGGTTGTGCTGTTGGCACTGGTGGTCACTGTGGGTGGCCCTGCTGTCCATGTGGGTGGTCATATTTGCACCGCAGGCAGCCAGTGGTGTCACTATGGGTGACCACAGTGTCCCTGTGGGTGTCTGAGGTGGCCCTGGGGATTGTCTCATTGTCACTGCAGGTGGCCAGTGGTGTCACCATGGGTGGCTACAGCATCGCTGTGTGTGGCTGCAGTGCTGCCCAGCTCCCGCAGCAGAGCCACCCCAGCCCAGCTGCACTCCCCAGCACCCAGGTGCCATCATCCCATGGGCGCTGGTGTCTCTGTGCTGCCCCTTTGCCCCCCAGCTACCCCACAGCCAGTGGGGCAGGTCATCCTCCAGCCCCACATCCCTGACCCCACAGATGTCCCCTGCCAACCCAGCTCTGAGGACCAAAGAAATCCATTTTTTTGAGTGTTTTTGTGTCCCATGTCACAGAGCCTGGCTCCTGCCCGTGCTGCTGTAGGGCCAGGGGGCTTCTGTCCCCACGCAGCCCCATAGCCCCCTCTCCCCTCTCAGGGAACAGGAGCCCTTTTCCGCATCCGCCTGGCTGGGGGCTCGGTCCCCTGCATCTACCTGTCCCCGCAGGACCCCCGCCCTCTCTGCCACCCTGCCATTGACAGGTAAGGGCACTGCAGCGACGGGATTGTCCCCAGGATGTCCCCTCACTCCCTGGGGGTGGCCAGTGGCAACACCATGGATGGGTGCAGTGTTCCTGTGGGTGGCTATGGTGTCCCTGTGCGTGGCGGTGTTGTCACCGTGGGCGGCCAAAGGTGTCCCTGTGGCTTTCCAGTGTCACCATGGATGGCCAGTGGTGCCACCATGGATGGCCAGTGGTGCCACCATGCCACCATGGGTAGCCACAGTGGTGGTCATCCTGCTCCCCCAGCACCCTGTCCCCAGCCCAGTGTCCCCACTGTGGGTGGTGCACAGGGAGGTGGTGGCTGTCCCTGCCTGCCACCACAAGCGGGCAAGGAGGTGACCCCACAGGGACAGGGGGTTCTGGGGGGCATCTCACGTTGTCCTCCCCCCCAGAGCCCTGCAGCTGAGCGGGGCAGGTGGCCCCCCCCACGTGAAGCTGACGGTGGAGTGGGACATGAGCACCAAAGAGCGGTGAGTCCCTTGCCCCCAGGGTGGAGGGGACACCCCAACACTCAGGCCACCCTCCCTGACCGGAATCATGTCACCATCCCCCAGCCTTTTCGGCAACATCCAGGAGGAGGTGGTGCAGGACGCGGAGAGCGTGCGGCTGCAGCAGCAGGCACACCGGCAGCAGCACAGCTGCACGCTGGACGAGTGCTTCCAGCTCTACACCAAGGAGGAGCAGGTACGGGGCACCCCACACCCGTGTGGGCACCTGCTCCCTGCCCACACCTGCCAGAGCCACCACCGGGACCGAGCCCTGCCCGTGGCGCGGCGGCTGTCGGGGTGTAAGATGCCTTTGGAGGTGGCAGGGGGGTGTTGAGGATGGTGCCGTGGTGTCCCCAGCTGGCCCCGGACGACGCCTGGCGCTGCCCGCACTGCAAGGTGCCCCAGCAGGGCACGGTGAAGCTGAGCCTCTGGACGCTGCCCGACATCCTCATCATCCACCTCAAGCGCTTCCGCCAGGTGGCCGAGCACCGGCACAAACTCACCACGCTGGTGAGGTTCCCCCTGCGGGGGCTCGACATGGCCCCACACGTGGCACAGCGGGGCCAGCCCGGGGGGCAGCTGTTGGGGCGCTGGGCGCCCTGGCAGCCCCCCCTCCGCCTGCCCCCGGGCTGCCCCCGAGACTACCTCTACGACCTGTACGCTGTCTGCAACCACCACGGCAGCATGCAGGGCGGGCACTACACCGGTGAGCGGGGGCACTGCAGGGGGGGCAGCGGGGTGGGCATGGCGGGGGGAGCAAACTGCTGGGCAAAGTGTGGGGTTTGGGGGCGCCTCAAAGAGCGTGCTGTGGAGCACGGTATGGGGTTTAGGGGCATGGCTGGGGGTGCCGTGGGGAAGGGCAGGGGGCTGGGGGTGCCCTGCAGAGTTGTGGTATGGGGTTTGGGGGCCATGCAGGGTTGTGGTGTGGGGTTGGGGGCACTGCAGGGTTGTGGTGTGGGGTTTGGGGGCACTGAAGGGTTGTGGTGTGGGGTTTAAGGCCATGGAGTGGGGTTTGGGGGCACTGAAGGGTTGCGGTGTGGGGCATGGAGTGGGGTTTGGGGGCAATGTGGGGGTTGTACCATGGGGTACAGCATGAGGTTGGGGGCAGTGGAGAAGGGTGTGCCTTGGGCGTGGCAAGACGTTGTGGGGGGCACTGCATGGGGTTTGGAGGACATCACAGGAGGGTAGGCCATGAACCATGCCATGGGGTTTGGGGGCCATGGGGCAAGGCAGAGGGGAGCTGGGGTGCAGGGGACATAGAGGATGGCATTGCAGCCACCCCAGGGCAGGCACCCCAGCAGCGTCCTGCTCCCCCACCATGTCTCTGCTCCTGCTCCCCACTGCACCCTGGAGCTGGGGGGGACCCAGGGCAGAGCCCGCATCCCCCCTCACCCCGTGCTCCCCTCACCCCCAGCCTACTGCTGCAACGCCCTGGACGGGCGGTGGTACAGCTACGACGACAGCCGTGTGGAGGGGGTGCGAGAGGCGGAGGTGAGCACCCGCAGCGCCTACATCCTCTTCTACCAGCGCCGCCACGCCGGGTCCGCCGGCGGCTCCGGCAGGGGTGAGCACCCACCTCCCTGAGCCCTGTGTCCCGGCACCGCCCGGCACCGCGCCCCGGGACAGGGCACAGCCACGTGTGCACACACGGACACGCGGGGCACAGCCGTGTGTGCTGACACACACACACACACACACACACACTCACACAGAGACACACACATGGGCCACAGCCATGTGTGCTAACAGGAACATGTGCAGCATGACCAAAGACACACTGGCGCACACGGGGCTGGGCACGCACGGCACTGCCAAGCACACATGTGTGCAGACACGGCTGTGAGCACACCACGGCCTGGCTGAGGGCACTCGTGTGCACACAGGTATGTGCATGCACAGCAGAGCCAACTGCGTGTGCATTCAGCACACACACAGCAGGGCTCCATGCACATGTGTGCATGTGGACACGTGTGCACACCTGTGCATGGGCAACACACTGGGCACGCAGCATAGCCAAGGCTGCCCATGCACATGCATGTCATGCACACTGGCACGCTGGGTTGAGCACACACGGCACAGCCACGTGCACACCCTTGCACATGTGTGCACAATCAGGCAGGTATGAACAGCACAGCCAAGTGCACACAGGTTTACATGCACGTGCATGGACACACGGTCACACACAGTGCTGACATGTGCAGTGTCACTGGGGCACACACACGTGTGCTTGGAACCGTGGCCACACAGCACCCTGCACAGCACATGCACCACACATTTGTGCACATGCCTACGTGTGTGCACACACCCCACATGTGTGTGCACACACCCCTGCATATGTACACACACCCCCTACATGTGATCTACACGTGTGTGCACACCCACCTACATGTGAGACCTACATGTCTGTGCACACAGACCTACACCACCTGTACGTGTATGCACACACTCAGATGGCTGTGTGCACACCTGCACATATGTGTACACACACACCTATACATATGTGTACACACATACACGCAACCTACATGTGTGCACACATGTACATGACACCTACCTACATGTCTGTGCACACAGACCTACCTGCAACACCTGTACACGTCCATACACCCCTACACATGTGCACACACACACACACACATGTGCACACACATACATCTGCATGCCTGTGCACACACACCTACATGCCTGTGCACACACCTGCATGTGTGCACAAACCCCACACACATGTGCACACACCTACACACGTGTGCACACACATACATCTGCACGTATGTGCACACACACCCACATGCCCACGCAACGCCCCCCCAGCCGATGCTCCCCCCGCTCGCCACGCTGGGTGCCCCCGGGTGCCTCATTGTGGCCCGACGGGACCCCCCGCTCTGGCCCCCGGCCCAGCACCTCCCCCTCGCTCCCCGCAGGCTCCGCCGCCCCCCCGGGACACTGGCTGTTCCGCCTGGCCGGCACCGACCCCGGCACGGACCCCGGCACCGCCCCCGACCCCTCCGGCACCGCCGCCGCCCCGGAGAACGGTGAGGCTCAGCCCCCCAAGCCACCCCGCCCCCCGGACCTCCCGAGCCCCCCTGACCGTGGTTCCTCCGCAGGCGGGTTCGAGGAGCGACCCCCGGTGCGGGGTCTGCAGGGTCGCAGCCTCAGCGTGCGGATCGCGCCCGTCGGACACCCGGGGCAGGGGGAGCCGGGCCCCCCCCGCGGCCCCCGACGGCCCACCCGGCTCCGCCGAGCCGCCAGTGCCGAGGGGACCCCGCGCCGCCCCCCCCCGGGCCAGGGCAGCCCTGGGGTTGGGGTCCCGCCCCGGATCGTGCTGCCCGAGGGGGACGCGGGTGTCCCCCTGGGCCGGCGCCCTCCCGGCCCCCCGGCGCTGGGGCGGTCGCGAAGCTCGGCCAGCCTCCCCCCCCGGCCCGAGGGGGCTCTGCGCCGATCCGCCTCGCTGGGCAGGGGCGCGGGGGGGACACCCCTGTCTGCCCGGGGTCCCTCCGGGGCCACACTGCAGCGGGGCCGGCAGCCCCCCGGTCCTCTGCGCCCCGCGGCCGTGCCAGAGTCCAGCTTCTGAGCTGCAGATGGGGGTCATCGCCCCCCAGCACCCCAACAGGGGGTCCCGAACTAAACCGGGAGCTTCCGAACTGCGGGTGTCCCAGTTCAAGGGTGCCTGAGCCAGAGGATCTCAAACAAGGACTTCCATCCTGATCCAGGAACATCCCGACTCGGGGGCATCCCCCACCGGGGCATCCTGACCTGGGGGCCCCGGAACCAGGGCATCCCCAAGCTGGAGGCAGTCAGGTACCCCAGAGGTGGGTTATCCCAATCCAGAGGCATCACAAGCTGGGGACATCCCAAACTGGACTCTCACAAACCAGGGGCTCCTGAACTGGGGCATACAAAACTGGGACTACCCCAAACCAGAGGCTCCCAAATCAGGGCATCCCAGCCTGAGGGCTCCTGAGCCGGGGGGGAATCCCAAACCAGGGTATTCCGACCCAGAGGCTCCTAACCAGGGGGCCTCCTGAACCAGAGCCTTCCAAACAGGGAATCCTGACACGGGGGCTTCCAAATGGGGCACCTGGACCCAAGGCATTCCTGCCCAGGGCCATCCTGACCCAGAGGCATTCCAAACTGGGGCCATCCCCAGCTGGGGATTTCAGACCTGGGGACATCCCAAACTAGCGTCATTCCAAACCGGTGGCTCTGAATCCAGGGGTATCCCAGCACCGGGCCATCTCAAACCGGGGGTATTTCCCACTCACCCCCCCACGCCCCTTCCCCTGGAGCGGGCGGGCTGAGGCTCCCCGGCTCCGCCAGCTCGAGGGCACCAGAGTATTTATTGTACCAGGAGAGTTTTATTCAGAGACGCTTTTTGTTTTCTAAAAGGCGACTATTTTGGGGGGTGGGCGGGTCCCCCACACCACGGTTCTATGCAATACGCGATTCCTCCAGCCAGCTTTTGTACGCGGGGCTCCGCCCCACCGCCGGCGGTTTCTATTAAAGACACGTCAAACAAGCCCGGTGTCCGTGCCAGGGGACGTGTCCGAGGGGGAAAAGGGCTTTGTGTCCCACGGCAGGTG